AGTAATCTGTAACTGATCGTGGCAATGCCTGATTCTCCAGCTTCTGTGAAGGAGTGACTTCAGTAGGATTGTTGATTGACCTTATAATCTGCAACTGATTGAGTTTGTGTTTCAGACCTTAATCCACCTGTATTTCTTGAATTTGCTTCCTCTCAGTAACGTCAATGTGCCACTACAATATGGTTATTGTCCTTTTGTTGTTAAGGTTTTGAACTGGAACTTGATTCCATTGATGATTAACCTTATAATATTGTTGATTCCATTGAGCTCTAGTGTTCAATTGCCTCTCCCGATTCTGCTTCTCCTTTGCAAGGTTTTTGTGCTCTCTCCATTTAGTTCGTTGTAGTTTAAATTCTCACTATGGATTTTGATCTGGTAGCAAGCTAGCCATGGACCACGAAATGGATTGTGATTTTCATGCAATTGAAAATACCTTCAGATTTTGGCGCCTGCTTGGGAATTGGTCTTGTGTTGATATTTGAAAGTAAAGGAGAATCATGGATCTTTTGCAACTCCGAGAAGCAGGTCATTGTACCTCAAGAATTCCACTTCGGAATAGATGTAAGAATTACACTTCTCATTTCTTAAGCTTACTAATAGGAAGTTTTTGTTTAACATGACACATATATTTTGTAGCCTTAACTTTTGTTGTCATAGAAATTGGAAGAGTGAATGTTTGATCTTTGATTTAGAGTTGGACCACGCTATTGTTTCTAGAAAGTGGAGTTTGTTTTTGTTTTACTTCCATATGCTTTTGTTGTCCATTTTATGTTGAATTTGGTAACGTGAATTTGATTTTTTATTTCCATTGAAACATCCCAGAAACTCAGGTCTACAATCTAGGGATTGTGATGTGCAGCAAGGCTGGTAGAGAGAGTTTAGAAGAACAAGTTTTTGGCTACAGGGACTGAAGCACACACGGTTTCCTGATTGTAGCACTAGGTGAACAGAATTGTTGATACTAGGAGCTTTCAACTATAGATACATAATAGCTTTTGTTTCAACTATGGATACGTAATAGCCAGAAAAGGTATTTTGCGCCAGGAAAAGTCTTCTTTACCAATTGTCCTAATCTAGCCTTTGCCTCACTTCCCAGCGGCAGAGAGCTACGGCTTGGAAGGCTTGGAGCTTAATGGTCTTTGAGAAGCATGAGGACTACAAGGTACAAACTGAATGCCATTTGTTTTCTTTCTTTGCAAGCCACTCTGTATATGTGTCAACTAAGTTGATGTCATCCGGTTGTTCAAATACTGAAATAGATAGACTACTAAATTACTGCCCACAATTTTTCTAGTTCAAAGGGCGAATGGAGAAGGGCATTGATCATTATATGATAAGTTTAATGCTGTGTGTAGTTATTTATTCCATCACTTTGTTTTTTCGAGACTTTCTCTCTATCCTTCCTGCTCCTGGTAGCTCTCTTCTACACGATATTGACTCACTCCTACTGTCACTCTAGAAAATGGCCAAGTGTAACCACTTCCTAAAGCGTAGTATAGCGGGTTTGGGTTTTAAAGTCAACCCGGGTCCTAGATGTGATGACTACTCAGTTAATTCTTATTATCTAGCAGTGAAACTTTAGTGCAGGTTTAAATAAGCAAACAAGCAAGCAAATAAACGGTTGTTTTCAAGTTGAGAGAGGTCACCGGGATATTGTTCCCCCTAGACTGCAGTTAAGTCGGATTGCAATTTACCAAGTTCAATTTCTATGATAGTTATACTGCGGAAGGTTCTTAAACCGCCTGAAGTCTCGACTTAAGGTCTCCAGACCCTCTCAATCTGAGTCTCCAGCGGGCGACTAACCTCCACCGGAGTAAACAGATTGAGGCCCTAATGAACAAAACCTCCACTACCGGAGTGAATTCGGTACAGAATTGTGAGTTGGCTCCTCGACTAAAGTCGCCAACTCCCTACCTTCAATCAAGAGTGCTCTATCAACCTAGGCAGATATTCTCTTTCTAGGTTAAAGCAGAAACAACAGGAATTTGATCAGGATTCATGCCATTCAACAGTTCAAACCTCAATTGAATATAATCAAATCACAGAATCTGTACTTGGGTACATACAATCAGACCTAACATACAAATCTAGGGTTCTCCATACCCAGCTTGGCCGCACGGGCAGGCTCGCACGGCCGTGCGTGGTCCACTTTTGCCCGTGTTGGCTGACACAGCCAGGCCGAGGAATTCCACACGGCCGTGCGAATTGCACATTTGGCCGTGTGGAATTTGCGAATAGGAGATTTGGCCGACGTTTTTGTCGCCGGAGGCGACTTCCGGCGAGGCTCCGACGAGCAATTCCGGCAACTTTTTCGGCGTTTCGTCGCTTCCATCGCCTTCCCCTCATCATCCCCTACACCTCTACTTGAGTCTCCAGGTTTGATTTTGCCCTTAACTATGTTAATTGTGGAGAATTGGGTGTGTAGGGTGTATGTTTAGAGAACCTTATTGAATCTTGTGATTTTTGTGCAATTGATTGAGGGGAATGCATGGAATGTGTTTGAATTGTGTTGGGCAATGTCCCCCTTGATTGTTTGAGCCCTTGTGTGCAAGAATTTTGCCAATTTCATGCTTAACTTAATAGTGCACACAAGGTGTTCGATGAAATGCCTGTTTTTCATGCCATGTTGTGGCCATCGGTTGGGGCCCTTAATGATGTAGTTTGAGGGTGTATTTGCTATGGATGTGAACCTTAAGTTGCCTATTTTCTCGTGAATGTGCACCCCCACTCAGATTATGCTTGATTTATCGATTTTTTGACCCCCGAACTATGGATGAAACCATGGTTAGGCTGTTTTTGTGTTCTTAAGTGTGGGGGTGTGCTTGACCTTTTCTTTGGCTCTTTTGGTTCCACTTTGGGTTGTTCTTTTGTAGGACAATGTCGAAACCTGACCTCAAGCACCCGTTCATCTGGGATCTGAGGAGGGGCCCCGACGAGGATTGCTTCAAGCAGGTCCTGGCATGCCCGTTTGGACAGCACCATTGCTGGTCCAAACGGGAGTTTCGGAGATTGAACTGCTACGAGCAACTCTCCGCCGCCCTCACCAACCGCACATGGCGCCGTCTGCTCACCATCTGCGAGAAGGTCTACTATGAGCCCGTCCTGGAGTTCTACACGACCTTCAGGCACACACCGACGACCGATTGGAAAGACGGTACAGCCGTCAGATTCAGGCTAGGCGGTGCCCCCCGGTCGATGAGCTACCATGAGCTGGCCGAGGCTCTCGACCTCGACCTGGATGATGGTGCGGACTACATCACCGAGGTCAACGACCCGCCGGAGGTGGACTTCATGAGGCTGTACACCCGCCTGGCTAAGCCAGGCCAGAGGAAACCCTTCTCGGCTGGGAGGAAGAAGGCCACTACCCTGCTGCTCGACAACCGCCTTCTCCACCACCTGCTGGCGAAGTCCTACACCCTAGCGTCCGATAGTGCCAGCGCCATCACTAAGAGGGCCATGTACTTCATCGCTTCGATGCGCCAGTACGACCATCCTCTCCACTTGGGATCGGTGGTGGCCAGGACCTTTGAGAAGACTGCTTCGGAACTGAAGAGCCTCCACTGCGCCCCTCTCATCACCCGCCTTGCCACCTACTTCGGGCTCTCCTTGCAGGGGTGTACACAGCAGGGGGACACCCTCGTCTTTGGCAGGAAGACGATCAGTCACATGCACCTGCTGCGAGAGAACCGCGGCATCCTATGGGTCGAGGGGTTTCCAGAACCTCAGATCCCCGCGGAGACCCAGCCAGAGGGCTAGGAGGAGGAGGCTGCTGATGACGTTGAGCCCGAGGAGGTAGATGCTTCTGCTGACCCCCGCCCACCACCTCCGAGGTGGTAGAAGCTCCGCCTTCCCGGGCCAGGTTTACTTCTCCTACCAGTTCGAGCAGCTGCAGATCCAGAACCAGCAGATCCTCGACCAGCAGATGCAGTTCCATCAGCAGTACGCGGAACACCAGGCCGAGTACCGGAACAGGATGGCTGCTTATGATGAGCGCCTGGACATCCTCCACACCCAGCAGGGAGTGACTCTCGCCCACATCGAGCGGGAGAAGCGCCGTTCACGGCGCATGCAGGAGGTCCAGCAGCACCTGCTCCAGCTGCTCCCGGGCGAGCAGCCTGTCTGGAGGACTCCCTGGGAGGACTCTCCACTTCCACATGCCCCAGCTGATTGTGATGATGGTGCTGATGGAGCTGCTGATGATGACGCCTTCATGGCCGACATCGACTTGGATGATCTTGGCGACGAGTAGGCTGTACTCGTTGTCCATCTCAGTGTGTTTTGCTTTTCGTTTTAGACTTTTGTGTGTTTGCTCCATGTGTGCGGAGCTTGAACTTAGTGTCGTTTGTTTTTGTTTTCTTTTTTCTTTTGTGGTTTGTTTATGATGTAGCCGTCTGGGCTAACACTTATCCCTAACGCACAGTGTGCTAGTGTGCTAGTGTGTTTTTGGTGTTCGATTCGTGCAGAACTGTCCATTCTCCCGTTGTTTCTCGCTGACTGGTCCACTTCCAGTCCCCCAGCAGTGTTTCAATCCGGTAACATCGTTCCCCTTATCTCTCCCTCTACTCCATTGAGGGCAATGTCGCGCTTGAGTGTGGGGGGGTGCTTTGTATCGGTTGGAATATATATTTGGGTGCTTGGAGCCTAGTCCGCTGTCCGAATCTTACGATTTGAGGGCTCCAAGTACTGCTGTTTGATCATATTGGCACTGTGTTTTGATTGATGAATTGAATGGTTTTCGGATTGATGCATGACAGCTTGATTTTGACTAGGACAACCTATGATGAGGACGGAGACGTGCAGTAGAATTGTGTAGGGGTTCAGTTTTTCAACTGTTTGCTCGCCAACTGTGACTTGGATTGATCACTTGTTCTTGACAGTCGTTTATGCATCTAGTTCAGGGTATCAGAATGTGAGATAGAGCATATAGGTAGCCATGTGAGATTTGAGCCTGCTCGTTTCTTTCTTGTGCGATAGATCCCTCTTCCATGATGTGTAGCATTCACGTTGTCACTAGCTAAGATGATGGGGGCGTAGGATTAGCCCACGACCAAAATTGACTGTCCTGATGTGTCATACCCTCTAGTCAGCCCCTTTGAGCCGTGTGTTATCCTTTCTTTTTGGTCTATAACGAAAAATCACCCTTTTGCATCTTTTAGAAGGTTCCACAGAGTGGTTTTTACAGATTCTCTGCTGTTTCTGCTAAATTGAATGTGAGTGTTAGAGGTAGTGCTTAAAAGTTGGGCAGATGTTTGAAATATGTGCAGAAGTGGTGGCTCTCTTAAGAAATGAAAAGAAAAATGAAAGAAAAACAAAGAAAAATTGAAAGCAAAAGAGAGCCACTACCAAAAATCTGAAGAATGCCCTTTAAGTAGTGTTTCTTAGCAGTCTGGCTTGGAAATGCTGATGTTTATACCTCCTTCGCTCTTGTGCTCTTGAGATATTGAGTATTGCAGAATAGCAGAAAGGGAATACTGGTTTGTTTGATTGTGATTGTGTGGGTTTGGAAATGTGGAACCTTGTGCTATGAATACTTCCACCACCTAAAAGGCCTTTTCCCCATGTCCAAGACCCTAGCCAGTCATTTGAACCTGTGTCTAAGACCTCCTGATTAGTTAGTGATGACATCCTATATGTGAACTCTAGCATTTAGAGGCTGCCATCATGGTGAAGAGATGTTAGGGATTGAGACAAATAGCATGCGCATTTTTCGCATCAAATTGTCCTGACCCCACTGGTCAAGAGTGAGTGATTCATTTTCATATTCTATATACTCTTGTACCCCGGTGAGGACCTAGATTGCTTGGTCTCTATTCTGATGTCTTGAGTTGACTGTTTTGAGTAAGTGGTTGAGTCAAGTCTAGGTTGGATGGTGAACAGAAGGGAGACTCTTCCTTTACTCGATTTTGCTGCACTCGAATGTCCTTTGTGGTGGTTGTCCAGGTTGCTATTGAGGTTGTTCATGTGTTGATGCTTGAAAACCAGTACGATTCATGTGTTCTGTGCCTTTATGACTTGTCCCCAATGTTGGTTGATTGAAATATGTAAGCTTACCTGGTGTCTGACTTGGTTTGCTTGGGGACAAGCAAACGGTTAAGTGTGGGGGAGTTTGATAGACCGTTATTTACACATGTTTTTACCCTCGTTCTTACACCGTTTGAGGTGTTGATTCTCGTGTTTTAGGCCGATTTCATGCTAGGTTGTGCTTGTTGGTGATATTTCAGGTCCAAGTACGTGAATGGAGGCTTGGGAGGGAGTTTGTGGTCGATTGGACGAAGATCGGACGCGTGGCGAGGTGCTAAGGAAGCTGCACGGTCACACACAAAGACCACACGGCCGTGCAACTGACAAACCAAGCCGTGTGGGATTGTGCGAGAGCAAACACGGGCACAAGTAACTTTCACACGGCCGTGCAAGAGAACAAGGTGGCCGTGTGATTTTCGCCGAGAGCAAACACGGGCGAGATGGAATTCTCACACGGCCGTGCGACCCTGGCCGTGTGGGAAGCCTGAAGATCGAACTAAAGGATACGGTGCGTTTTGACTCACACGGACAATTGGGTGAGCCACACGGCCGTGTGGCCTGCCCGTGTGAGTCGGGAAATTCTGGTTTTTCAGCCAGTTTCGAGCAAAAAGAGGGAGAATCGGATTTTCACAGCAAAAACAGAGCCCTAGAGAGAAAAAGTACGAAAAACACATCCTAGAAGCTATCTTGGAGCTGGGTTTCATCGAATCGAGCTTGGAGATCGTCATAGGAGTGGAAATCATCATCCCGGAGCAGATTTTCCTCATCACTATGAGTATGACTACTCCGATTACTGTTTTCTCTTCTCTCTCTATGGAGTAGAACCCTTCTCTCACTTGGGTATGAAGAACCCTAGTTCCTTGTCTTAGGGATTTGATTGTAATGACTTGGGATGATTATACTGTTTGATTTTAATCGAATGATGCATGTTTATTGAATTGATTGAAGTCTTATCAGCTTTTCTCGATTTCTGCTGCAACCTGAGATAGATAGAATCTGATTAGGTTGTTAGAGCCTCTTCATTCGATAGTAGGAGATTGGCTATACGAGAGTTAGCCAGTTTACTGCTTTGTACTGGAATTCAATTCCAGTAGTGGAGTTCTGTGTTCATAGCCTCAACTTTCTATCCCGGTGAAGACTAGTCGTCTGCCGGATAGTTAGACTGAGAGGGCTTGGTCAGCTTAAGAGATTCCAAGCTACTGTCGGATCTTCCGCAGTCTAATCAACAGTGAATCAACCCAGGGGAATTACAATTGGACCTAACTAAGGGGCTAGGGGGACTCAATCCCGAGTGACTCTTTCCTGACTTTGAAAACCGAACAATTTACTGCTTTCTTACTGCTTTTGCTTTAAACAACAATCAATCGAATTAGTTGGCTAGATAATAGACAATCACGGAGTAAGCAGTAGATCTAGACCCCGGGTTGATAATAGAACTTGCCTGTTACTGCATTCCCGGATTGCGATTACACTTGGTCGAAGTTTGGTGTTGTGTTTTGGCGTGTCAGCAGGTCCACCTTAGGTATTGTGCACCTCCCCCCCCCCCCTCTAATTTCCGTTGCTTTCTCTATTCTACTTTGATTTTCCTCTGTCGACCGCCTGACGATTGGCCAAGTTGATCTCCAGATTTTCACTTCACCGCTTCTGTATGAAGCACCCGCGGCTCAGCTCTCCTCCCCCTCCTCACATTTCGACTTCTTCTCACTCTCACCTATCGACGATTGTCTGGCGGCTGCCCAACTCTCGGTTTCCCTTCCAGAAACCCTCATCGATGGTCGATTCACCCTTCCACTGCAGTGATAGCCCTGACGGCTACTGTTTGTTACCTACGGCTCTTCCCTGGCGGCTAGCCGAGTTTGAGATAGCTGCTTTCCGATTGTATTTTCCCCAAAATCCTCTTTCGCGAGGCTGAATCCATAATCGAACTGAATGTCCTTAGTTGAAGCCTGATGAAACCAACAGCTAAGGCAAACTATCTCTTTCCCTTCTTCTTCCATGGACTCTCTAATTTGGGTATGATTTGGATGCCTAATTTTATTTCCTTACAGATTTTTCCTGTGATTCACCCTTGCTGTATACTTCTTTCTACGTAGGGGAGAATGATGTCAAATGCAAATTCAGATCTTTTTTATGTTTGAACAAATGGGGTTTTGTTGTGGTAATTATCGGTTGTTGAAGGGAAGCAATGATTGGTATATGGTCGTTGCCGGAATCACTGATACATCAGTTGGATGTGGGCAGGTCCACCTTAGGTATTGTGCACCTTCCCCCCCCCCCCTCCCTTAATTTTTCGTTACTTTATCTATTCTACTTCGATTTTCCTCTGTCGACCGACC